ATTGAAGATTGAAACCATTTATCATCTAAAAGCAAATCAATCCAGTGGCGTACCGTCTGGAATTACCGGCTTCTATGAAGGTACATCCAATCTTTCATGTTTCTCTGTTGGAGCCTTATCGAGAGTCGTCCTTTCCTAGAAGAGTGCAATGTCCGCCACCTAGTATTGAGATCGAGAACCACGAGGATATGAGGTCGAAAAGGTGTTGGATTCACGACAAAGGTGGGGCAAGTTGGAGTATCTTGTTCATTAGTGCGGCTACGATATTAATGAGCAATCTTGGAAACTAGTTGAAAATCTTGTCAATGCGCCACAAAAGGTATAGGAGTTTGATCAACAACATCTTCATAAACCTAAGTCGGTTCGATGATAGCTTCCTTCTAAAGCTTACTCATCCAAGAATATAAGAGAGGGGGAGAGCACCACCAAAACTCGTAGTTGATAAAGTAGAATTTTTTCAATAGCCTTCTGATATGGATAGCCAAGAGATAGATACTATGCCAGTCACATTATCTCAATCGACTAGCTCACGAAGGCGACCCCAAGATGAAGAACTGCCTATACCACAATGACGACGGAAGATACCGAGTAATCGATCACAGGTGATTGTATTTGAATTTGAGCCTGCTTACGATGGTCAGCCGAAAGGCGTGTTTCCAAGACAATTTCACAATGAAGACACGGAAATTCATGCTTGATCAGAAGTCGAAGGCGTGGGCCTCTACCGTTGGCTTCAAGGGTCGATGAACCACCTGCCTCTTGAACAACAGTTGGAGTTCATAGCAGACATTATGTGATAGATCTTCATTTTCTTACGTTGGTACTGATTAACAATAATATTGCTTCTCAGAGACCTTGAATCTAAAAGAGGGGGTGATGTTAGGGACATACTCATTAGAACCTTTTAGAGACAAGTTTCTAAAACCTTCCAAAAGTAAGTCTTTGGAACCTTCTAGAAGCTTCCTAGTTGGTGGAAGTTGCTTGAGAAGCTTCTTAGTTGGTGGAAGTTGCTTGAAAAGCTTCCTAGTTGGTAGAAGTTACTTGAGAAGCTTCTTAGTTGGTGGAAGTTGCTTGAGAAGCTTTCTACTTGGTGGAAGTCGCTTGAGAAGCTTCCTAGTTGGTGGAAGTCGCTTGAGAAGCTTCCTAGTTGGTGGAAGTTGCCTGAGAAGCTTCCTAATTGGTAGAAGTTTCTTGAGAAGCTTCTTAGTTGGTCGAAGTTGCTTGAGAAGCTTCCTAATTGGTGGAAGTTGCTTGAGAAGCTTCCTAGTTGGTAGAAGTTGCTTGAGAAGCTTCCTAAATAGGAGTATATATTGGAATCGAGGCTGAAGAGTTCTTTAGTCTCGACAACACATCTCTTGGAGCTCTAGCTCACCTCTTTGGTGTTGCTCTTGTATTCATTTGATTAATGTAGTTCTTGCCAGTTCTTCTTGAACTTCTTGTTAGATCTCGAGGCTGTATTTCTATGTCCGTGACATTGGATCTTCATTAAGAACTTCTTTTAAGTTGCAGCTCTACTTATATATTTCACTTATAAAGACACACTTAAGTAGAATAAAGAAGTCAAAGCATTGTTTGATGCTTTTAAAAATAAATTTATTTTTACTTCAATTTTATATTATGTTTACTTTTTGAAGGTATTTTTCATAGAAACACATGTATTAAAATTTGCCATGGGTGTGATATTGTTGCAATTGGCAACAGATGATAAATTCCATCTAATAGCTTTTTATTTTAAGAAATTTTTAGCAATAGAGATCAACTATGAAATCAACAATAAAAAACTTTTTATAATTGTGGATTCTTTTTAGGAATGGCATCATTATCTAAAAAGCAATTCTAGACCAATTATTGTCTATATAAATCACAAGAACCTCAAGTACTTCATGTTAAGACTGGTGTTAAATCATTGTAAGGCTTGTTGGAACATATCATTATTTAGATTTGATTTTAAGATCACATATTGACTTGAAAAACAACAAGGTTTGTCATTTGCACCTTCTAGTCATTCTCATGTTCTTAAGATATGTATCTTGCAAAGTCAATACATATTAAAAGTCTTATAGAACATTGTCATATAGCTCTTAATTAGATATTATGTATAGAGGCAAGAGTTAAACCTTCTTTACTCTTGTTAATGCCTTTCTAGTCTTTATTCTTGTTTCAAGACTTTTTAGTCTTCTTTTATTTGGCAAGAGCCATTCTAATTCAATATATTACCATCTTTGAATGATTTTTTAATCTTTTTGAGTGACATAAGAGTGTATTGAATTTTCTTTCTTTGAAATTCATGTCTTTGATACTATTTTAGATTGTAAAGCTTTTTAGAAGAAGCACTAAATACAATGGTCCAATGTACAAGAAATGAAGTCTAATATATTTTTTTTTATTTAAAAAATATTTTTTATAATTTGATAATATATATTTTTTGGATTTATCAAATATAAAATAAAAAAATTAAAGTAAGAAGTATTAATTCAATGGCATTTATTAATGCCAAATCTTTTTTAGTACCAATGTATATGAATCAAATATCTCCATAAAATTAAAGAAGTTGAATAAATACCTAATAAAAAAAAGGTTTTGTTTCTTTTGATAGAAAAATAATACAAATGATGTTAAAAAAAAAATATATTTTTTTCTATAATATATAATATAAGTATTCTAAACCTATTTATTTTGTATGTAGAATCCATAACAATAGAAGAAATATATCTTTTTGCAAGTCCTACTGAGTTGGAATGTACAAAAAATAGAGAATTTATCTTATTGTCTATATTACATTGATAAGTAAAGTAATAATTAACAACATGTATAGTTTTCATAAGGCAAATAATAAGTGAACGACCACCAAGTGCGATATGATGCAATCTTTGCCGCTCATTGTAAATAATACAAGCAATATATTTGCTACTAGAATTATTTTTTAACAAGACAATCATGATGTTTTTTTGACTCCACCTTTGCAATAATCAACCATGATGTCATTTCTTTTTGTGTTGGTTGAAGATGCTGAAAATTGAATGATATGAAAGAAAATAAAAAGGTTCATGGTTATGAAGACCATTCCCAACTTCTAAGTGCTATTAAGTACCACTATACAAATCATAGGTATGCAACTCAAATAGGCATTCAGTCAATCGACTTTCATTATTTTGTTGATAAATATGATTGTTTTTTTCACAATAAAATCTTCTTCTATCATATTTAAAATCAATGCAATCTTTATCATAGTAATGTTTGCAAACAATATATCCTTAACTATATGCAAATGTATCTATATTATCTTTCATCTCTTCTATACTTTCAAAATATTCCTTTCGTAGAGCACACATGTATATCTTAGTTTCCATTGCAAAATACAAATAACTATAGAATACACAATTTCCTCTTCCATCTCTATACACTAATTATAATATCAAAAATAGAAAATTATAGTACATGATAAACATGAAAAAATTTGAATATATATGACCTTATAAATATGTTAAGGCAAGACAAAGGAAAATATCCATTAATTATAGTTGTTGGTAACCATTGATATTTGTCGTATTTTCATGATTATATAAATTGTATTTACAAAAAACCATAATTCTTATAATCCAAATGCAGATGATAGTTTTAATGATGAAGAAGAGCTAAAAAATCCATGTGCCAATTTGTCGTGATGTATAGATAAATTTAGTAAAACACTAGGTCCATTTAATATTCTTCATGCAGAAAATATATATATATATATATATATATATATACACTCTAATATTACATATAGTAAAAATAATATTTGGATATAACTTGGTTTACTTTATTTGTATTGTTTTTGACCAACATATGTTTTAAGAATAAGCTCTTAAACTAATTAATTTACTTAAATTTAAATTAAATTATTTTAAATAGAATTATAATTTTTATTACCATGATTTATTGTATCTATACCATAATGTCGAAGCAAATTCTTCACAGCTGTAATGTCTATTATTATTCTTATTCATTTTTTTGGATATTTTTATATAATAATTTAATATTTGTATTTAGTACTAATTTTCAAAAGACTGTTATGTTAGTCTGTAATGTTAGTTTTTTGGTAACAAATATGTCATAATACAAAATGCGAAAATATATTCAAAATTTATTGCTTTTATGCATGTCCATTAAGTAGTAATCTTAGCCTGTAGGACTTACTCATACAAAAAAAAAAAAAAAAAAAATTAGACGTGAATTTTGAAAATTTCGTATATATGTATATTTAATCCTTTTGATAAGAAAATAATTTAAAAATCAAGTTTGAATTGGATTGATTACCATCCAATTATGTTAGTAGCTTGATTTTGAAATCATGCTTATTTTACAAGATAGCAGTGAATGTGGTTGAAAATATTATGGTGGCATGGTTTTCAAATACATTCTATCAACACAATTTGATACCAAATAATTTCAAAAAAAAGTCTGTATTACTTAAACTTAGTTACAATATAAATTAAACAGCTAATTATATGTGTATATATATATATATACATACACACACAATTATGTGATATTAAAAAATGATCCTTACAATTCTTTCCACGTGTTGTTAAAGTTTTTATTTTTATTTTTATTTTATTTTTCTTCATAAATTTTAACAGCACTTAATAGATGTCTATTCAGATCATGATTATCTTTGTAATTTGATTTTCGTATCCACTGTATTCATCCATCTATCCATCCACGCAAATAATCTATCTCATTTTCATTCATCCACAAATTCATCCATAAACCACATCCACCACTATATCCATCAATCCATACACATCATCCATCCAGGCGTCGACTCCAGAATCACCACTTCACTCACTAATCCAAGTCACTTCTGGAAAAGCGTAAAAACTGGAATGTGGGGTTCTTACCTGGCACTATGTAACTGGCATAGAATCTAATAATGATGTGGCCATTCCTCAAAGCAGCCCCTGCGTGGATTCCGCCCGGAACAGTCGTCTTCAATCTTAAAGAATGGGGAAGGGGAAGTGGGGGATTCTACCACATTTGAGCTTCCAGTCGCCGTCCCGAAGCTTACTTGCTTCCCTGCCTTCCCATTCCCTTCCCTTCCCTTTGCTTTTCTTTGCATACTTGCTTGCTTCGTATTTCCCTTACTATTCCCCACTGCCAATCGAATCCTTTCCGGGCCCTTCATTTATCAGGCAGCAGCTACTTCACACAATTCTGCGCTATTACTGATGCAATCCTCGTGCAGAGGAGGAGGATTGATAGATTGATAGATAGATAGATTGATTGATTGATGGCTTCGTGCAGAACAGATCTCGCAGGTCGATAATCAATCTCGAGGAGGAGGGAGGAGGAAGTTAAGTTAGGTTTTGAAGGAGGTCTTGGAAGGTTTGGGGGGAGGTGTGGTTGTTGTGACGAGGGGGAGGGAGAGGGTTAGAGGTGAAGAAGAGCTCTCGTGTTTGTGAGGGTTTGTCGGAATTTTGAGTTTGCCCCCCCTTTTTTTTGTGGTTGGGCACGGAGGTTGAGATTGAGCGTCATGGGATGGGAGAGGAGGATCAAGGATGTTGGTTTGGATTTTTGAGGAATTTTGTGGGAGGGTCTAGTTTAGGGTGCGGAAATCAGGTGAACGAGGTGTCGGAGGATGGTCTGAAGGTCGTTTGCGAGAGGAGCGCACTTTGCGTGGATTTATTTCGCATGGTCGATTCCTCGGGTGGATTCGGGATGCCTTGGAAGGAGCTTCACGAAGTGGATGATGTTGAGATGATGATGATGATGATGTGAACAGGGTGATGTGGGCGTGGTTGATTAGAAATTGTTGTGTGGAGGGCTCGGATTTTCAGGCTAGCGGGGGTAGTGTTTTGGAAGACTGATCAGTTAACCCGGGTGAGTGAGTGAGTGAGTGAGTGAGTGAGTGAGTGAGTTCAGATGGGCTTATTAGGTTGGCGGAGGGGACGGTCAATCCTCCACGTGTTGGCGTTGGTCTCGGTGTTATCGCTCCTTGCGCTTCGTGCCTCAGCGGCTAGTCCCTCCAAAAAAGGTGGTTCAACCATCCTGTTATTTCTAGGTTCAGACTCAGATGATAACAGAGACGACGGTAACCTTTCGGATGGTGATGATGGGTCATCCGAGAGCTTGCAGACGGAGGTTGAAGAGGCTCCCCCCGAATGGGATGAATTCAGTGATGCTCAGGATTCACAGCGGACCGATGAGGACTTGGATCCTGGATCGTGGAGTCAGATCCTAGAGCAACCACCTAACTGGGATACTCGTCACAAACAGGTACGTTACAGGTATTTTACTGTAATACACTGTTTTTGTTAATTATTTTCTTGCCCATGGTTCATGTTTTGTTTCGCAAAAACGAAGTCTCTGTTTAACACGGGCATGATCTGCTGAATTTGATCTTGGCTAATCTGCAAAAGTTGTTTAGTTTAGGTGAAATAGGGTTTAAGTCTGCATTTTGTTGGACGGTTGTGTGTAGAATATATCAAGTATGTGTCTCCTTTTTAGTTGTATGTATCGTCACTGTGATGTGTTCCAGTGTGCTTCCGGGATTCGGAAGATGATTTTAGCGGTAAATGAAGAAGATCCCGGCATGTTAAGTGAGGCGATTGAAATCCTGCGATCGGAGGCAGATATTGGGAATCCTCATGCTCAGTCAACACTCGGTTTCTTGAATTGGATGGCTATCGGTGTACCATACAGTGACGCCAAGGCTTATCTTTATCACGAGTTCGCTAAAGAAGGTGGAAATCCACAGTCAAAGATGGCACTTGCCTACCGCTACTACCGCAATCAGGTGCTTGGTTTGCCTCCTATCTAGATTATTATGAAATGGATAAGTGGAAACACAGGTAATTTATGGAATGCAGTTTCTTGGTCAGCTCAACCCCTTGGGTGTCTGTTTATCGCAGAAGGATTTCAAATCATTAAATACGGACGTTTTTGACCGTATATTTTCTGACAGCACATGATTTGTTTTTGTGTAGGAATATGAAAAAGCTGTGAAACTATACTCTGAGCTCGCTGCCATAACCATGGCGAGTTTTGTAAGTTCCAGAGAGGGTCCTCTCTTGGAGTACGTGCGGTTGAATTATGGATTAGAAGAGAGCAAGGATGTGTTGAAAAAGTTCCGAGGAGAAGAGGACGACGACTTCCAGTTTTTAGAGTATCAGGCTCGCAAGGGGCATCCAGATTTTATGTTTCAGCTTGGAGTGTTCTACTACTATGGCTTGCGAGGTGTTCGGCGTGATCACAGCAAAGCACTCCTCTGGTTGCTGAAGGCAGTTGAGAAGGGTGAGTCACGACCGTTCGAGCTGTTAGGGGAGATATACGCACGTGGATATGGTGTAGAGAGGAATTACACCAAGGCTTTAGAGTGGTTTAAGGCTGCTACTGCACGGAAGCAGCATTCTGCCCTGAATGGGATAGGTTTTCTTTATATTAAAGGACAAGGTGTAGAAGGCAAAAATTACACCAAGGTATGCGTCCCGAGGCAAATGTTTACCGCTTGTGCTGTGTTACGAGCTGGTCTCCTTTTTTGATTCCTGCTGTTTGTCTTAGTTATATCAAATACCGGGCATAACATTCACTAGGTTGAACTTTCAGCCAATTTTTCGAGCGGGCATAATCATTCTCTATGGAATGTTGTTTATTCGACGTTGTAATTGCAATAGTTGTGGTCATATGTGCCAGGCTAGGGAATATTTTCAACGTGCTACAGAGGCTAGCAATGTGGATGGATTTTATAATCTCGGCATCCTGTATTTGAAGGGCTTGGGAGTTGAAAAAGACTACTCACGTGCCAGGGATCTTCTGGTGGACGCTGCCAACAAGGGGCACCTCAAAGCGCGATATCATCTTGCAATTATGTTGCATAAAGGCACGGCAGGCATGAAGAAAGATCTTGCTCACGTAAGTGCAGGCTCTATGGGCTCTTATTGTGTACATTGGAACATAATGATATTGTTACGAGTACATTCATCCGGTCTGTATTAGTTTGGTGTTGACAAAGTGACCTTGAACTGGATTGCCTACTAAAAATTACTGTCGTATAGGCTGCGGCATTGTACAAGCTTGTAGCAGAGAGGGGCCCCTGGGGAAGATTGATGCGTCAAGCTTTAGAGTTTTATATCAAGGGCCATGTCGGCAAAGCGTTAGTACTGTATTCTCGCACTGCGGAGCTTGGATATGAAGTAGGCCAAAGTAATGCAGCTTGGCTGCTTGAGAAGTACCGAGTTGGGATTTGCATCGGAAGCTCTGGCATTTGCAAAACTGAAGAGCGCCACCAGCGAGCACATAACCTGTGGCGACATTCCTCTGAGCAGGGCAACGAGCATGCGTCGTTGCTGTTAGGAGACGCTTACTATTATGGTCGAGTATGTGTGAAAACTCAACCTTTTTAAGCATGCATGTCTCTCAATTCTTGGAACTTGAGTGTCGTCTGAGTTGGAGCCGATGATTGACTGTTCTTAGACACGTCGTTCAAGGAAGAAGGTTGTTAGTTTGAGAGTATTAAACTTAACTTGCTTGTTGTAAGTTCTTTCAACAAAATATCCTCAGACCACGTTAGTAAGATCGAGAATTTCATCATTAGTTCCTCGTTTGTAGTTTATTGAACTGCAACACGAAGCTTCTAGCGTGATTTCGCAGAATTTTATACCAGATTTTCTATTTGTTTTTATCAGGGGGCAGCCAAAGATCTGGAGAGAGCAGGTGAGGCCTACATCAGAGCAAAGGAGAAGCATAGCTCACAGGCAATGTTTAACCTGGGCTACATGCATGAGCGAGGGTTGGGTTTGCCATTGGATCTGCATCTTGCGAAGCGGTACTATGATGAAGCACTTGAGGAAGAGCCAGCAGCATTTGTACCCGTTACTCTTGCTCTCACTAGTCTTTGGTTACGACAGCATTACAGTGGGAGTTTTCTGGTATTATACTTCATTCGGTTTGATTCAGGCTTTGTGTTGCATTTACATCGGTTAAGAGTTTTACTAAACTGTTATGTAATACTTGAGGATCCACATTTTGAGGGGCTATGGCGCTCTGTTAATGCAGGTGAAGGTTATCGATTCCTTGCCGGACGCACAGGCAAATCTTGAGGAGTGGTGGAGCAACATGACTGTGGATGAACTTGATGCATTGCTAGTCACACTTCTCCTGAGCTTATTGTTTGTTATATATGTAAGACAAAGACATCGGCATCACTATGCAGCTGCTGCTGCCGCTGCTGCTCCACCTCCTGTTTTGCCTGCGCAGTAATTCCCCTTTTTGACTCTACATAGTTTATAGTGGTTCCTTGGTTGCTAAAATATCAACCAATTTCAAGTCTTGGTTGGCGGATTGCGTATAATGCGAGGATAGAATCGGGAACCCTATGTGCTGAGAGCACTTGCTTTCGGTTGCCTTCTTCACATGGGTGTGCCCACGAGCCCCGCTTCAAAACTGCAGTGCCATGTATAGTTTATATTCTTCTCAGCTGGGAATTGTGTATCGTCATGCCAATATCTGTAGATTAGTGATGCAGTTGAGAAATTCAAGCTCGACAGTTGAGACTTGGAGATGATGGTCATTGACTTGATGAGGGGAAGTTAACATTCATAATGAGCAGAGAGTTTACCAATGTATTTATATCCACATCTCTCTTTTTCTCTCCATATCTTTACATATACGATTGAAACTTTTGACATCTTGCATATTCGTTCGACAGGGATCTTTGTATAAGTTTGTTTAGTTAATATGTTGTAAATGCTTGGTTGAAGTTGGTATATGGTGAGATGAGAGAGGATAATAATCTTGAAAATCTTATTCTGGGTCCATTCACAAGGATGTTTTACATATGAAGGTATCATGAAATAACGCAAGGACTTTGTTGCCTTTTTTATTTTTATTTTTATTTTTTTATTACAAAAATATGCAAGTTACTTTTTCGTAGTTTTCGGCCCACATTATTAGCTGTGAAATAAAATTTTAGTCTTTTACAGAAAAGAATAAAACGCTAATTTTAGCTGTGTTAAATGTGAGGTACTCCTGAAACAGACACTGAAATAATTGAATGCCGAAATTGAATTCTCGTTTGTAACCTGCAAAGATTATTTCCAAACCCTCTAGGTAATGAATCCAATTTAACACATGTAAAACCCTTGAACATAAATTTTTTAAAAAATATAAAAGAATTAGTGAAATAAAGTTTTACAACATAATTCGTTGAACAGATAACAAACAATTGAAATTTTTAATTTTGTTTGCATGAATGCATGTGAACATTTTCATCTCAAAGTATTTATTTGGTTGAACAACAGGTTAACCTTTTTATGATTTTCACATTTATTAATTTAGCCTATAATCAAAATTACTTGAACTTGTCAATATCTTGTACTAAATACTTGGTCTTTGTTCATAAAAAAATTGAACTGGTGTTTTATCATAGGACATTGCAACTTATTGAGATTATTCTTTTGGATCTTGGACAATTATTTCTTTGTATGTTTAATTGCAGGCTTCAAAGTACAAAAATGGTGTGGAGATTTTCTCTTGAGAAAAATTATGTAGACCAATGGTTTAAAAGTAGATTTGAGAGTTGTTGATACCTCTTGTTGATTCTTCCACAATAGTGAAAAAGATTCTCTAACTTCTTTCATTGCCTCCTTTAATCATAATAAATTTAGGGAACTACTAGGTGAACATCCTCTTTTATTGCATGGACATCTTTCCATGCCATACAAACAATACAATTCTACAAATTTATCAATGAATTGAACAAAAGGAGGGGAATGTCCATGTAGCCATTCCACTAATTTCTATGACTTTTAGACTTATCCTTCATGTCTTTATTTAATGTTGTTCAAAGAAAAAGAGCATCTTTATAATATTTCACTAGCAACTTAGATTAGGTACAAATTTGTGTGTTGGCTCATTTTAATTGGCTTTCCGATTCTTAACAAAATTCTCTCAATTGCATCTTTCAACTGTGTATTATGGACATACATGTTTACTTAGATAAGAAGTGCTAGGTAAATATAAATGTAGGTACATTTGATATTATCGTATGGCAAAACTTCTTAGAAGCTCCATAGATGCACATTTGTCTTTATACATATCAATAGTTGATCATAGGTTAGAAACTTTGCCAATAAGTTAGCCATGTATGGCACATGTAAGTAACTTGTGGTACAAACTAATGATGTGGTGCACATATATGAAACTTACCTTGTACGTAAAGATATGTGTCTTGCAAATTGAACATACATTAGAAGTCATATAGAATATTGCTATATAGCTCTTAGTTAAATAATATATATATATGGAAGTAAAAATAAAGTCTTCTTCACTCTTGTCAACATCATTCTAGCCTTCAATCTTATTTCAAGACTTTCTAGTCTTCTTATCTTTGGCAATAGCCATTCTAATTTAATATTATATCATCTTTGAGTGATTTTTTTAGTCTTTTTGAGTAATAAAAGAATTTATTGATCTTTTAGTTCATTAAAATTTATGTTCTTGACAATTGAATAAGAATGTTAATTTGTTATTCTTATTTTATTTTTAAAATGAGTGAATTACTTCACTTCTATTATTATATTTTAAAGGTTGTAAACTATCCACTTTTAAACTAACTTTTAGTTTTTTAAACATTGATTGTTTTTTTTAAAGAGAGTAGACTACCTTTTTTTGTAAAAATTCTCATTTGGTATTAGAAGTTGCAGATTACTCTGTTATAATTTAACTTGTGAGTTTATTTGAGTCATCTATGAAAGAAAAAACTATGGATGATATTCATAGTTACTTACAATTATCAACTCTTATGTTCTCGATTAGATCTATAATATATAGTATCATAGTATGATACAGCTTAATAATACTACTATCCATCTCAATGCTTTCTATAAATCTTGAGAGATCTATTTGTTGTGTTTTGTGTACACCAGGTATGAACATAGTTGTGGATGTGGGTACTACATGTAATTGTTTTCAATTACATACATGTGACATCTTTTTTGATTTTTTATACAGTCCATGGTAGTAAGTATTTACCACTACCACAATGGCTAGCCAGTTTAAGATTGTATCGTTCTCTTTTTATTCTACAAAGTAGATTACTTGAACATGCTCAACACAAATTATTAATAAGAATGACATAGGTTCTCCCGCTTTGCGAACAAGAGCTTTGGTTTACTACTTTATAAGTTTTGATCCAGAACATTTTCTAAGACATATAGGATTCATACAACTCAAAAAACCAGTATTCAATCCATTATGCTTGAAGGAGATAACAAAAGTTACAGAGATGATATGTCCTAGATGTAGTTCATTTGATTCTATAGAGAAGATTAAAAGAATGAAAGTATATTCTAATTGTAAAGATCATGCAAGAATATATATGTTTGATCCAAAGAGGATATGTTTTGTTGATAAGAAAGAACCAAGCTATATTATATCAGCTTCTACTATGAAGGATATGCTCAGTGCTTTATCAAATGATCAAATCCCAAGGATTTAATAATGAATCATATACTTGTTGTTGCTAATTGCATCAAACTCTCTTCACGTCCTCAAGATAGCCTTGCTAGACTATATACTTCAATACTAAGAAATAATGGTAATGCTTCTATCGTATATAAAGAGCACTATAGAATAATAGGAAAGGACTTGTTTGAGAACAATGAAGGATCTCTAATAAATAGGATGTGAAGAAAGAAAAGTACATTTAGAAGGTACATCATTGGAAAGAGAAATAAGCATTATGCAAGAGTTGTAATAACTCCTGATTTTAATACAGATGTTGATGAAGTAGGTGTTCTTTTATTCTTCTCTAGTAATCTTAAAAAACAAAAGGATGGAGATTATGTACTACTTAATAGACAACTGTCTCTTCAAAGGATGTCCCTTATGGCATTTAGAGCAAGGATGATCCCTGACTCTTATAATATAAGAATCAATCCATTTGTTTCTGCAAAATTCAATGCAGACTTTGATGGAGATGAAATGAACATATTCTATGCATCATCATATTCTTCTAAAGCTGAATGTGATATACTTCTTGCTATTGATAAGTGCATCTTGTTACCTTAGAATTGGATGCCTATTGTATATACAATACAAGATACAATTGTAGGAGCGTTCATGATGTACAAGATGAATAAGATACTAAGATGATCAACACTGCATGACTGTATCATGGTGTCTCATGCTCATCTTGATGCTACTAATATATGTACTTGAAGAGATCTTATACTCATGCTTATCCAAATGGTAAGCAATTGTAGCAATCTAGCAATCAAGTTGCTCACATCTAATACAATAAAAGATATAATCAAGAGTACGTTCATAATCAAAGGTAAATAAGGTGCTTTAATATTTCTAGTATCATTAGAAAGAATTGTTGATCGCTGCCTTCTTGAAGAAGGATTAAGCATAGGATATGATGATTATGTAAACAAGGTTGTTCTTGTTGCTATAGTACATGTAGGTGCAGATGATAAGGATGTGGATGTCATACTTAATAATATTTGAAACGTAAGCCAACGATTTGTAGTAGAATCTATTGATAACAACAACTTGTTCTTTACGATGATAGAAAGTGGATCTAAAAGAAGCTTTGTCAATTTGGGACAAATATCCTCACTAGTAGGTCAATAATGGATAAAATGAAAAAGACAAGCAAGGATATTACCAAGTGATAAAGCTTTAGCATGATGCAGCCCACACAATAATTCATTGCAAGAACAAGGATTTGTTAATCCTATTGAATATTTCTTTCATTGCCAAGGAGGTAGAGAACGACTAGTTAATATAGGTGTGAATACTTCTGATACTAAATATATACAAAGACGTATGTAAAAATCTATGCAAGATGTAACAACATAGTATGATGGCACTATTAGAGATGGTTCAGATATTATACAATTTTATTATCAAAGAGACAATCCAGACAACTATAAGATATGAAAAAGTTTTTATATTTGCCACTTGTTATTACATTCATAACATTCGAAGACTATAGTCATTCCTTTGTCAGCTGATCTCTACTGAACATCAATAGATATTGTCTAAAGGGAGATTAGATTTATAACTATTGTAGATCTCAATGAGCTTAAGAATACTCTTAGGATTAAAATCTCATGTATTTTTAATGTGAATCATAGAGATACAATTCCTATGCCTATAGAAGGAGTCAATAACAAGGTTTAGACTCTATGCCAAGAAGTTGTATAGTTGAGAGAAGCAAGTAGATCAAATTTATAATTAAATACAAAAAGCCTTGTTTCTATAAGTATGAAGGAGGCAAGGATAAGTATATCAGAGAAGTTTAACAGAACAAGACCAAAGTTTTGAAGATTTCTACAACAAGTGAAGCTCTTTTTAAGGTTGCATCCTTTCTAATACCCTAATGGATTTACTCAAGTTGAATTTATAGGTGCACTTCTATTCGGGAATGCTCTCTATTAGTTTGTATTTTTGATGGAAAAAGATTCATGACTTTTTTATAATCTTAATTCATTCTTATAAGTCTTTATAATTACATTTGAAAAAAGTGATTGAAAAATGATAGCAAAGACCAAACTCCTATTTTATGATAAAGATTACATTCAGCCACAATATATAATAGAATTTCAAAACCTTGTATGTAATATAGATTAGAATGATAAAATTCTTATCAATCAATTTTGATATAGATTGAAAAAAA